GTTCCTCGGCCCGCGGTCGACTAGTGGACTTAATGACTTTCCCCTCCATATTCTGTCTTGAAACTTTGCCTGGGTAGAGTAATTAGCTATGGGGTGAGCGCTTATCCCGGCATCAGTGTCACTGAGCCAAATTACCAGTAATTATCCCACCAATAACCATCACGTGTGATAAAACTGCGGCAAATATCGGCACGGCTGCAGGCAATCATGCCATTACCACACCAATGGCAACCATCTGAGCTAAATGCGAGACTGCTAATTTTCAGAAGTATGTAGTGGGATAGCAGCTGCGTCCTGTAAATTCTGCAAGGCATGTGTAAACATTACTCTTATCTGATGATGGATTCGAGTGTAGGTCTGAAACCCTTGTTTCAACTATCGCGTCCCCTTCCCGGACGGGTTTATTCTTCGTCATGATGACAATTTCATAAAAGCTACTCATACACTACATCGGATAGCCTCTGCATAGTTTGCACCTGATCTTATGGTATTGCATGTTATTTAAGTATAAGTGGCGTTCGACTCATCCCACTGGTTTTCCTATAAACTGGCAGCCACAGACTAAATGCTCGATATCGCATTTATCCAGGATTTGGGCAATTGCCAGTGAACCTTTTCGATACATTCTTGTGTTCTTGCACTTATAAGGGTCTCTATATACGACAGTTCGACCATCTCAGCCGACGATGTCCGCCGTGTGCTCCACAGAAAGTTAAAACAGGCACGATGACTTGCACTTGCATTAGTTTATAGTGAGAGTAGACTTGCGCAGAATTTACCACACTCCTCCCTACCAGGATTTTAACCAACACAACGACATGTCAGAGAGACGAGCATGACTGGGCAACCGTACACACGACCTGTATACCCAGTGGGAGTGCGAGAGCATATACCAGCCGAAACCAGGTGCCAGAGAACTGCCAGCACGCATCAGGCTGTAAGGGTCTCTATACATGATCGCAAAGGCTAGGTGGGGCTGTCGTTAAAAAGGACAGTTACTGGTTTGGTTGATTATTTAGCCGTCTTCGTAGGCCTCAACAGCTAGTTTAGTCGTCGCTATCCGGGCACCGTGTGGTACATTACACTGTGCTCGCCAAAACCGGTGCAGGACAAAGAACCCACGTGATCGGACAGCGATTGACAGGTTTAGGTGAACTTGACTGTCTGCATGGATGAGTCATAACCCTTATCATCTGTGGCCGAAGGTTTAGCCAGACTAGGCATTTCTTCGAAATCTCTGAGTTCCCTGCACCGCGTCTGTACAATTTTTCGCTTTCACTGTTGCTTTTTCTTCACTCGAAAGTCAATTTTTTAACCCACTCCTTGTAACATTTGCTGCACAACACTTTGAGTTGAATGCCCATGAATTTTTGGTTAACTGCACTTCTGGACGGCCGGCCAGTCTCCCGCAGTGCTGTCCGTATATTAGTAGTGTAACTCGTGCTTTAAGAAGCTTCAAAAAGCGCATCTACATAAAGGATTCGGTTACTTTTTCCAGTTCACGGACCTCAAGGTAGACAGTAAGCTTTTGGCGAACGTGGCGATGATGAATCTGTCGAGGATGACCCCTATCCAGAGGCATGCAATACCATTGTTACTGTTGAACTCCACCGAGGGGGACTTCACTTCACCCACCACAGTTGGCCTTCTTGACCTGATGGCAGCTGCACAAACGGGCTCCGGGAAGACTTTGGCTTACCTTCTACCAACTCTCAGCAGGATGATGTCAAGTTACCCTTCTGGAGCAATGACTGCACTGGTAAGAGCGTGGTGGTCCGGTTGATGACGTGCCTAATACTCCTGTCACTTCGTCCACTAAAATCCATCAGGAAACACTGATTACTGCAAGGACTCTGTCTTTCCAGGTTCAGCATCTTTGTATCTGAGTGCAAAATAAACCTGCTCTCACCGACTTCAGAAGTCACACTAATTGTCAAACGCACATTTCTAGGAAACCCTTTCGATATTTGGAGGGTGGGTGGCCGAGGAACCAAGTGATGCATACTTGCCGGCGGCTTCGTGCGGGTCTCATTTCTAACGCTTTATAACGGATCATTTATATTCGCTCCACGTTAAAGCCCGGTTCAACAACAAAGGCGGATATGGAAGTCTGGAAGTACTAGATCTCGACCCCATTGTCAACGCTAAAATTGCCATTAGGCATGGTCACCCAGTCAGAGTCACTCACAATTGCACTGACGGCTAGGTTGGCCGGGATTTTGCATATCGCCAACGCTCGAGGTGTGCGAATTGGTAGTCCCGAGTTTTGACAAATAGTTTTTGTCGACTTACCTAGCCGACGTTGCCTTCATCTTAGACTACTGGCAGACAGACCCCTGATTGCTGGATGTAGCCCAACTTGCCTACTACATATGTTTCTATCGGAAGAAACTGGTTGTTGCAAGGGCTATGCCATTTCAGCCTCGTCCTTTTCGTATATAAATGACGAATAAGCCTGCACTCGCTAACTTCAGAAGTAATTCCGCTTGTCGAACGCGGATTTATAGGAAACCGTTTTGACGTTAGGGGGTGGGTGACCAAAGAATCAAGGGGTGCATATTTGTTGGTAACTTCAAACGAAGCTCATTTTGGTTAAGTATCGGCGTTGTGACTTCATTTGCCAGTTTAAATCATTGTTAACTTTTTGTGTCACGCATCATGTATGCCCGCTTCACGTCAAAGCCAGGTTCAGTGCCTTCAGTGCTCGATATTTTTTCTCCCTTTAACTCTTGCATTTTCTTGTCTTTGGGTGTCTTAACATCTACTGCAGATATAAGATCTCAAGTTGGTAAGGAAAGGGTACCGGTTAAAGACAGCTGGATTTCTTAAGTGGGAGGGGGTGGTCTAGTCAACAGAAATTTGAATAACTGTGGCGCAAGAGACACGAACCTTGACTCAGTCCGATTTCCTGACTTCCATTAACTACCCCAAGCATCTACAGAGAGTGGCATTTAAACCTTCAGCGACAGCACTGAGACTCAACTAGGGGTTCCAGTGCTTTATAGATGGACGGCGGCATGTCGTTAAGGTCTACGCATTCACGCCTGCTTCCACTTTTCCAAGGATTTGGCAACTCCCTAGTTGACTTATTCCTCACTTATTCCCTTGTAGGCCGACAGTAACTTTACAATCCAGTACCCATCGGCCCTGATTTTGGCTCCCACTCGCGAACTCGTCAATCAGATTCGTTTGGAGGCCAGCAAGGTTTGTTTGCGACTTTAACTCCTCCTCTTCTTTTGCATATGTGTTGGTCCTAGCTCAGCATACAGCAACAGAGTCTATTTTTTAGAATTTTATCTATTGCTTTTCGCAAAATAGCAGACGCACATCAGTCAATTTCCTCCCCTGACGCCTGTGACAACGAGAGTAGCGTACTTGCTGCCTTTACTGTCCTCTAGTCCGCAGTAAATGTGGTGCGGTGTGAGTTAGGCGGGAAAGGAGTGCCGACGGGAAAATTTAACAGAGGTAAGTCCAATGCGATCATGCCTAACCTTTGAGGAAAGTAAGTTTAAGCGGCCTCAGTGGAAGCATTTGGAATCTCACAGCGTCCCAACCCTACCATGTAATTTTTGTTGCCAAAGCGCTGTGTCGTTACATTCCTCTGGCAAGAGTTAGCAAATTACGCAAACCTAGCGTGAACTAGGCGTTCATTTTGGCGCCTCTAAATTAAAGGCATCCAAAAGCCAGTAATTATATCAGAGTTCTCGAGTTTTTCCTACGAATAGGGCGGACAGCTCCAACTGCCCAGCCAGATTGATTAGTCGTACGACTCAAGTCAGGGAGTCTGTGTGGTTCTTCAAGAGAAGTTTCTGTCTACCTCATTTTCGGAGTAAAAAACTTCGGAGTGGAAATGCATTCTGGGGTATTTTCTACAAGGAGGTTGAAAGGGCGGAAAATGGCGTGACTAGCAAGTAACAAATGACTTGCTTGATCTGCTGCTACTGTATCTGACGATTGACTCTTGTATGAGTTCGAAAGCTCGGGATAAAAAACAAGGTGGTTGTTTGAAGTGTCATCAGGCCCATTCTGGTCGTTCTAGCCCTCGGCAAAAACCAACCGGCGTCCTCTAACTAATTATTTCGACTGTGAGTAGAAAGTCTCCTTATCGCGCTGTTCGGCAGATCATGTTGGTGCGTACACGGAGACGAGAGAGATGTTCGTAAAGCGCCCCTTCAGTCATTCACAAGTCATCCGGTCATGGACCGGTTCCCATACAAGTAGTGCTTGGTTCGCTTGTCGAGAGTGCGACCGCCACACCGTGTCTATCAGAGTAGTAGCATGGACAGCTGTGGTATAGGGTGAACTGGGAGTTTACTTCCGGCATATTTATTTTTCCAGCGCCTGAGGTGGGGGTTCGGACTTCAGATAGGCAGCGGATATCCACGTTGTACTGATGAAGACTGCGTGTTGTCAGACTTTAGGCACTAGGGTCCAAGAACGTTTGCACATTCCAGCATCCAATATCAGGAGTCTATTCTCGCATTGGGTAGTCTAGCCCGCATGCTTCGCGCGCACCACCGGACCCGGGTTATGGAATGCGTCTGTTCCCGTGGATGCCGTAGCATGGGTCGTGATACTGTAGTCGCACATATTTTCGTGAGGTCTTTTGGGGGTTTCGAGTACGGGGGTCCCTAAAAACCGTCCGAATCGTTTGCTCGAGGTTGTCTCCCCTAGCGCTTTGGCTCAAGGACTTAACCTCAAGGCAGCTGTGGTAAGCGGTCCACGGTTGTCATGTCACAGTGTTGTCATTGGGCTTTTAGGCACTATAACGCAGTCGGCATGCCAGACTTTAGATTTCCGTGTCCTGGCAGCATTGTCGCTTCTAGTCCGCGACAGTTTATTCGCCGGACCTGAGAGTCTGTTTATTTCGCAACTGATCTTCACTGAAGACCATTCCATCCGCCACCTGTGGACACGCCGGGTAACGAGTAGCTAGGCCATTTGGTAGTCCGTATTCCCGGACTCAAATCAGGCGGAAGTCAGTCTAATCTCTGAGGACATGTCTGTCCACCACGTTTTCGGAGTAAAAGGCTTTTGAGTGGAAATCGCCCCTACAAGTGATCAAAAGAGCGGAAAACTGTGTGAATGGCAGGTAACAAATGGCTGCCAGATCTGCCTTGACGGAATTCAGCATCGCTTTTACGCTACCACCTGGTCCACTGCGCGAATCGCTGACACACTTGCAAATGAAATGATCTTTAACGTTGCAGTTGTTTTAGCCACACTCCACGCTGCCGACTGAAGTCTCTTCGTCAAGTTGACTCATGCCCTACTTTACTCATTTCCGATTTCTTAACTATTCCCATTCATGTTTTTTCCTCCCCCCCACTTGCTGTCGTTATAGCTCTGCTACAGGACATACATCCGCCCCGTCGCCCTCTTCGGCGGGGAGAGGCCAGATCGTCAAGTAGCCGAAATTGGGCGTGGTTGTCATCTAACCATTGCAACACCTGGCCGTCTGCTAGACTTCCTCGATCGTGAACTCCTTAACCTGTCTCACTGCAGGCGAGTTTATGCACCTTCTAAAATTCCTTGAGTTGCCAAGTCTACTCCTGTTCATCAATCCTTTCCAATCTCCGTCCGATTACGGTTAATACTAATTTACGATTCCCTCAAATCCAACCAATTTTAAAATAAGAAAAACGACGCTCACGAGCTAAACAATTTCTTAGGTTAATTAGTGCACTAAACGGACACCACTGTGCTATTCACGCCCTCCTCAATGAGTGCCCCTGTACCATTGTATGTGCCTGATCGCAACCGACAGGACAACGAGCCCCCGTGGCCCAGTGGTTAGGGCGTTGAAATTCCAACCGACAGGTCGCGGGATCGATCCTCGGGGATTGCGAAGTCTGGGTTTGGGTATGGCTGGCTGATGACGACCAATAAACCAGAAACGGTCAGTAGGGCTTCCCATGTCTTTGTCGGTAATGCTCTTCTGCCGATATGCTGAAAATCCTGCGGGAGTCCACTCCATGGATTATTCTGTACCGGCGGCTAGAGTTGCGGTCAAGTGTCACGGTCTACCCCTAGGTCCTACTACCATTCGGGCTTTTTGACCAGTAATATGTGATGATGAATCCTGCGCGAGCTAAGCCAAAGTGAATAGCATGTATCTGCGGTTGTTACACTGTTGAGGCCCTGTCTCAGTCAACTTTCGACTTCTACTTTGCATTCTTTTTCTCCCCTCGTTTTTATTCCACCTATGTAGTTCAATTGCAAAATATTCCAATGTACCTTTTTTCAGTCAAGGTTGTTAGACGACAGGTTGGCCTACGCCTGAGAAGGCTAAACTACAAGTTGATCGGTTTTTTACCGGTCAGGCAGTTCATGAGTACCATTACTGCTCAAACAGACCTGTTTATAGGAGCCTTGCTAGCCGGAGTCTTGGCACCATGACCTCCCCAGCCAGTCAGTGACTCCTATGCAAGACCTCCGAGTTCCTGTTCGACGTTTAATTCTGCGTTGACTTCCTACCTTAAACGCGTAGTTATAACCAACCGCGACGCTGGTAGAATTTTGGTCAAGATCTGTCCTCTTATTCGCGATAGCCTCTCCTCCAGCTACGCCACCAGATCAACGGTTTAAGATACTATGGGCGGTACGTGGATGATCTATTCGCGATTGTACCGAAACTGGATGACATAAATCAGGCGTACCCATCAATAAAATTCACTCTGGAAGAAGAACAGTACGGTTCAAATAAAGAATATCAACAGCTCGATCCTCGCGCACATGGTAGACGCAGACCACCGTGTAGACGCCAGAGAGGCCTTCAGAGTGATTTACAAGGTCCCATCAAGCTATCCAAAACTGCTAGGGCAGCGCTTGTTGGCTACGGCAGAGGCGGCTGCAATTAGGCTACGCCGACCGGTCCTATGCGCATAGAAGAACTTCGTACAGGTCCCACAGTTACCGTGGGTCAAAGTCACCAAGCCAGCCATCCGCATGTAATTACCTTCGCCGGGACCCACCTTCTCCCGGGCGCTGACTGGAGTTGTGGTGTTTCACTCTCCCCCTCCCCTCTCCAAACCCGAGCTACAGCTTAATTATCTACTTGCCCGTATCTTTTAATTCATTACTTCAATAGCCATATAAATGTACAGGTCTGAAGAGAATTTATCGAAAGCAGACGTATGCTCGCCAAATTGCCTTTTGAATCTCCTCTTATTGTTAATCCAACCGAATAATCTGCCCCCTGACACACTAGTTTTTCTACCCAGGACCCTGATTATTGACGAGGCTGACCGTCTGCTGGACATGGGCTTCGAGCCCCAACTACGAAAAGTTCTTCAGTCTCCGGCCTATGGGATGCCGCCTGCCGAAGACAACCAGCGTCAAACTGCCCTCTTCAGTGCCACCTTTCCACGCGAGGTTGCCCTCTTGGCACGCGACTTCCTGCGTGGGCCCAGCTGCATTTCCCTCAATGTCATACCTCAGGAACAGGCGGAAGCTGCCGACGCGTCGACTACGCCTCACCTTATTGCGCCAGCATGGGGAGAGGCTGTAAGAAGACCCTCATCTGAGGAGACCCTGCGTCAACTGAAGGCCTCTGTGCCGCGAGAGATCGTTCAGACAGTTGAGTGGATCGAATCGGACATCAAGCTGGACAGGTTGAAACGTTTGACCTCCGTCATCAACCGAATCACACAGGAGCACTTGGAAGCTGTGGCCGGTGGGGAGGTTTTCCTTTTTCTTGACTTGATTATTTTTTCCCTCTAGGGGTTGCGGGTATTTATTGTAAGCCACATATATACCTCGTAGAAGGAGCTCGCCGCTGGGAATCGGAAGGGGTGTAGAGCTCTAAACAACGTCTTGAAGTTAGCTCGTCGTCCACAGTCATTGCCTGTGGGAATGCATTCGAATGTACAATTCAGTCCTAGGCCTAGTCGTCAAGTCCCTGTTTACAATCAGACTGTTTCGCCATTCTCACTGTTGCATCCCATCTTATCTCGCCCAACTCTAGACCATTCTACCCTTTCCTGTCTCCGCTTGTAAGATTTTTCTCCCATGGGTCGGCTTATTTCCCAAAAGGGCTAATTCAAGGGTCTTCGAATCACGCTGCCTCCTGCAGACATGATTGTTTGAGCCATAGTACCCGTTAAAGCATTTGATGGCGGCGGCAGGCGTTTCTAAATCCGGCCGGGCCCAAGCAAGTTAATTAGCAGGACGAACCGATGGGCGAGTGAGTACATTTACGATGAACTCACAGGGAGCATTTGCCAATGTCATCGCTGGGGAATTAGCCAATTGGTTGGCGGGCACGTGGGCGCCTGTGATTGGCTGTCTGCACTCAGCTGAGGTCGAAACTGATGCACAAGTCGTGACCTACAGCCCGCGAAGGGGTAGACAGTTGAGCGAGCGATGGAATAACCGGACCATTTACCGCATAGGTCGAACAGCTTGGGCTTGTTTTGAGAGATTTATCTCCAAACCGCTTATGCGTTTAGCAAATCGAACTGAGTAATTGAAACGTGCAATCAAGATTAGCATGCACAGTGTCTTGTAGAGGCGATTTTTGCAAGTTACTGCCTCTTGTTACAATTGTGGGAACAACAAAGGGGCCTAGGACGCCTTGCTTCGGTCTATGCACAGTTTGTGTAAGTATGCCATTTGTAGCGTTGATTAAACTAACCTCTTCCTTTTTTCCTTTTCATCCTTCAGCCAAAGCCGAGGCTCCTACAAACATCACAAGAGTTCTGGTGTTTTGCAATACTAAACGCGAGGCCGACATGGTTGATCATTATCTCACCCGTCAAGGTCTTAAGTCCGTATGTGTACACGGCGGACGGTCACAAAATCAAAGGACGCAGGGGGTCAGACTCTTCCGCGAAGGTCGTGTCAACATCCTCGTGGCAACATCGGTAAACCACTCCCTGAAGCTCAAATTTCTCATTTATTCTGTATCACACCAGCCCACTCATGGTCGTGTTTGCATCTGTGAAGCATTTCCGGGGCTTTTATCTAATACCCCCAACACTGATATAACCTCGATATTAGTAGAATTAGGACAGAGAAAAACTTTTCAGAGTAGCATCGCACCCACAAGGCCAAGAAGTCTTGTTACCTTTTTCTTAAGAAGTGCCCGCTGTCTGTTACCCACAAAGCGAACGCGAGTGGAATGACCATTTCTGGCTTATTTTCTGGGGGAGGGGATTCGTGATCTAACTCTTGGCCGCTCATTAAGCCAGGCGAACACCCAGTTGAGTCATGAACATACGCCCGTCGGTGGTGTTTTTTTTATTTGTTGCTATGGCGCCGCCTGCGAGAGCTGTGGACTGGCGTTCCAGGACAAGACGAAACGTCCACTTTTTTTCCTTTAAATAATATACATCTGTAACTGCAAATCCCATGTTATTTTTAGTACGATTAAGTTTTCTTGGCAAACAAATGAACCCACTAGCTAATACCTGTGCTGTTAGTATGGTTGTCCCGGTACCCTACAATATGCTCCTAGCAACCTGTCAGCTGTTGATGCATATTGCGTGGTTACCCGCTGTGACTGATGGACTTCGCCTCGAATATTTATGCATAAAAATCTAGATCTGCGCCTATAGACCCAGAATATACTGACCTACTCCAAGTTCTAAGTTAATTTCCGAGGAAATTAAAAAGCAGCAAATGAACCCACTACTAAAGAGCACCCAGATCGACCTCTACCCACAGTTTTTTGCTCTGTCAGATAGACTGTTTTTCTGCCTGTCAGGTGGCTGCACGCGGCCTGGACTTCCCCAGCGTGAAAGCTGTCATCAACTACAGCCTTCCACTGGGTCTGGACGACTATGTGCACAGAATTGGACGGACTGGACGCATGGGCAGCTCCGGTCTGGCCGTTACTCTGACCGGTCCGGATGAGCTGCGTCGCGAGGCCCACTTACAACAGGTAGCCAGAGGTATCTGCACTCTGGCCAGCCAAGGCAACTCCGCTGTCCCTCTCCCACCGGAATTCATCAGTGCCGCGAGATGGCGCAAGGGCCAGGAACTGGAAGATGCACCGACCTCTTTCAATCGGCAGGCACCCTGTTCGCCAGTGCGTCTGAACAGATTTAGACCTAAGCGGTCCTTTGGCCAGCGGACTTGAGACGGAGACACCTTTTATCCTGTGTAAAAAATCATTTAATTCCTTTTTTTCCAACCAGCAATTTTAGATGATTTTTGAAGACCACCTGAGCCAACTCATTGCTTTCTTCAAACATCCGGTCTAGGACAATTGGGGTATTTCTCACAGGGAGAAAAATGTAATGAAAGAGTCAGAACGGTCATGGGCGGAGGGGGGCTAAAATTGAAATCAACATTCGGGGATTATGAAATGGAACGATCAATTATTTGCAAGGCTAGCAGGCTTGCCCCTAATAGCTCGGTAAGTTGATCACAAAACGCGGATTCCCTTTCGTGTCGGATCACTCCCGACTGTATGCTCCTCTTACATCCTAGGGTCTGTAATGACACATCTGTCGCTTCTGAAGAGACTGGAGAAGATCAGTCGCGCTCTGCGCACTTGAAAAGTGCAAGCCTCTCTGTGACAAGACTGTTGCTCCCGGCTTTATGGTTGGATGTCTTTCTCATGGTAGACGGTGAAACTGCCGAGCTAATGGACGGCTTTTGCTATTGAGGATATGACCGAGCGTCGGATCTAGGAGCTAGCCGATTCCACTGACATTCCTGGGGTGGGTGTATGATTACCCAGTGTCTCCGCCAAGATCGTCTGCAATTATAGGGGACATTTTCCGCACGATCAGGGACTGCCCGCCAGGAAGTATTAGATCGATGGGACCTGCGCCCCATCCCAACACAACTGTGTTAAACACCCCCGCTAATGGTTGACATGGCTTGGTCATGTACCGGACCTACCTCGCCGAACCCTGTCTAGCGACGAAAAACAGGACGGGTGGAGGTGGTGATGGTCGACCTTGAGCTGGCCTCTAGTGCTGCCCTGATGCTTAGTGTAGTAGGTCCGGCCCGGTTGGATGCCGCACAGCCCACAACGTTAGGTCTTGATGTCTGCTCCTCACATGATCACCCCCATATTGTTGCTGTGGTAAACTTCGCCGATTCAATCCATCCTCTCGACTCTTAACAATAAATGCGCGGTTTTTACGCCCAGGAGGAATTCCTTTCTGGTAGTGCTGAGGTTTGCCTGGCCGTTTCAAGAGCACGCTGGCTCTCCCGCCCACCGCAAACGCTTAGACCCCACCATCTCCAGCAGCGACTTAAGCCGCGAAATACTGACGCCGACTGCTCCTTGGGTTTCGTTGGTTGATTCCCAAGTGAAAATCACTCTTGATAGTAACATAGTCACTCTGGACCCTTCCCACAAGGTAGCATGCCAGAAGGTGAATAGATAAAACTTGTAGCGAACAGGAACCGACGTAGCTGCCCTATTAAATGAGGTAAATCGGGCATCCGTCGATCAAGTTCGCACTGTAGATGGAAACAACTGCTTCTCTCCCATTCTTAGATGCCCTAAACAAGAGACCTGACGGTAGCATCCGAAGGAGGGTCTATCGGCAGAAAACCTGGTCTAGACAATGCTCGGGCTTCGAAATCTTTGTGCCCTAACAAAGACGAAAGCTAGTTCCGTGTTTGGTCCAAATGGTCAGAAAAACGTGTTTGAGAGACAGCATCGGGGAAGAGCTTCGAAAAATCTAGGACCTGTTTAACAAAAACGGATGTTATGGCGCTTTTGCTGCAAATAATATTGCTGAGCGACCAGATAAACCCACCACACTGACTGCCAGAGAGAAAACTCTGTTCATTAAAGCCCCTTTCCAAGTGAACACTGCGAGTGAATTAAGGAGAGGCCCTGGTCTAGCTCTTTCATGAACCTTCCCAGCAGCAAGGGCTCGAATACTGTTCTCTAATAGCCCTATTTTACGCGGAGGTGAGGAGGGGTTGCCAATCCAGACCACATCAGTGTGCATGTACTCCTTCACTCGCTCCTGCGGAGAAAACTATATTGGTCGCAAGAGTGGGCGCCTACCCAGAAGAATGCACAAACACCGCCCGGCGTGTCTGGGGAAAGGTGAAACTGGAAGCATAAACAGCGCCATTCTCACAATTGTTGTTGATTCTAGGTATCGTGTGGACCCCGATAAAGCTTCTTGTATGATTTCTAAGGTCCCACCGAGCCATTCTAAGCTAGTGAGCCAGCGTACATTAGCAATAGCAGAAGCGGCCACTATCAGGTCATGAAAGCCGGTCTTGTATTCACGGAAGAACCTTGTTTGGGCGCCGCGCCTACCGTGGTCACAAGTCACGCTCTTTCACTCTAACCCCTCTCCAAG